TTATGTATCTAGCTATATCTATATATCTTCCACATTAAAAAAAACTTTTTGGGAGTCTTAGTAATTTTGTGGTTGTTCGTCCTTCATTCCCCCCCCCAAGTCTGTGCAGGCAGTGCACAGGGTCACACAGCTAGTTAAGTGTTAAGTGTCTGAGGCCAGATTTGAACTCTAAGTCTTCCTGAATCCGGGGCTGGTGCTCTATCCACTGACCCATCTAGTTACTCCTGGATCTTAGTAATTTTTAAGAGTATAAAGAAGTCGTAAGACCAAAAAGTCTGTGCTATACCATACTGCCTTCCTAATAAATTCAGATTAGTTTAAAAGCATTACTGGATTCATAGTAGGTGTTTTTTGTTTATAAATTTTCTCAGTTCATGGTTGCCTGTAGTAAGAACTACTATCATGGCTAGTAGGGTCTGTGAAATTTTTTTATATTAAAAAGGTAAAATCTTGTAATATGTTTATTTTTTTTTATGTAGGTAATAGGAGCAGAGGCTAAATCAATCAGCAATCCTTTATTAAGCATCTGTGATATGCGAGTTATTGTACAGATGCCAGGGATACAGACATTTACATTTTTATAGAGTTTACATTTTATTGGGGGAGACAACAGGGACAAAAATATATACAAAATAAATATGAGATGAGCACCAGCAACTGAGGGAAAGGAAGAAGGGTTTGGGACTGGAAGTGACTGTGGGTGGGTTGTGCTCCCTTTGGCAGTTCTGGTGAAACCTATGATCCATTTCTCAGAATCATATTCTTTTTTTTTTTTTAGAATCATATTTTTAAATGCGTAAATTAAGACTCATAGAATTACAAAAGAAACCTATCAGACTGAAATGTAATTTTCAAAATATTATAAAAAACTAAACTTTAGAGATCCCAGGTTATGAACCTTTGATATAGTACAGTTTCCCCATTTTACATGAAGGGACTAAGTCCAAGAGAGGTTTAAGTGACTTGTCCAGGGTCACACATCTCAGTAGTATAGTTGGACTTAGAGCCCAGATCCATTAACTCCAGAGTCCACTATATCAGTTTGCAGTGTGTCATGGGAAAAACAGCATTGGACTAGAAGTTGGGAGACCCAGGATCAATCAATAAACATTTATCAGTGCATAACTTTGGGCAAATCATTCAGCTGCCAAAAATGAATGCTAGTTGACTTGACTTTTTAGGTATCACTTTCTTCATTTGAAAATAAGGATGTGAAACTAAAACTTCAAGGTTTCTTTGGGCTTCAATGTTCTGTGATTCTAAACCTTCCACCATATTTGAGGAGTCCCTTATGTTAATTCAAGCCTTGACAGTTTCCCATTTACTTGTCCTCTTTCTCTTTCATGTAAATTAGTTTGACTTTCCTTACTGGACTGTAAGCTTTTTCCAGGCATGTCCTCCCTTTCCATGCCCCAGTGCTGGTGGGGAAGTTTGGGGTGATAAAGGTAGTGGAGTCAGTGTGCTCTGATGGAAAGAGCACTGGAGCTGGGGTTACAAGACTGGCTGGGTGACCCCAGGGATGTCACTTAACTTCTTAGTTTCTTCATCTATAAAATAAAGATAGTAATACCTCCTGGGATGGTTGGGAGGATCATGTGAAAAAAATTTTTTATGTTAAGTAAGTCCCTTTACCTGACAAGGCTATATAGATATAATCCATTATAATTGCTGCTTTATCAGCACTTTCAGGTTTATTTAGGAAGTTCTAGATCAACAGTGTCTCCTGAAAAGAGTGCCCTCTAAAGTCCCTTCCAGCTTGGAATCTATAATCTTTTAATTCTGTAGAATGTTAGAATGTAAGTGTCCAATTGATGGCTATCTATTTTAATTCCTGATCTTTGCTATAGCAAAAAGAGCTGCTATAGTTTTGTACATGTGGGACATTTCCCTCTGTCTTTGACTTCTTTTGGGTATGTGTCTAGTCGTGCTATTGCTGGGTCAAGGTTATGCTTGCTGGGTCAAGGTTATGCTCAGTTTATCGACTTTTGGAGCATAGGTCCAAATTGCTTTCCAAATTGCTTTCTAGAATGGTTAGATCATAGCCCCACCACCAGTGAATCAGTGTGCCTGTCCTCCCACAGTAGGAACTTATATTCCATGTTAACTTGTTCATGTCCGCATCTTGGAAGTGGATTGGAAAACACCTGAGATGGAGAAAAACTGAAGCCAACCTAAGGCATTTACGCTCCCCTCCTCTTTCTTTTTTCTTCCTCCTCCCCCTCTCCCTTAGCCATGAACTTTTTTGGGATGCCATGTGACTTAGGAGAAGGAGTGACTCTTTCTCTTCCCGACAGACCTGACCACAGGGCTTCTAAGGAAAGAATAGCCATAGAGACAGCATGACAGATAGAACACATGCATGGAGTCTCTGGGCTGTTGTTTTCTTGACATCTAAGGCACTGGGAACATTGCAAAAAACTGGGTTCTTTCCAGTTTTCATTATTCTCTATCCCCCTCCCTCTCCTCAGTCAGTGGGGCCCCTGCCAGAAGACTGGCTTTGGCTGGCGCACAGAAATTCAGAAGGACAAGGAATGGTCACTCTGCCACTTGGCCCTGGGGAATCAGATGAAATCTTGAGTCTGAGAAGGGGGAAAATGCATTGCTCACAAATTGAATCAACCATCTCCAGAGTGAAGGAGTGAGGAAATGAAGTAGGAGGTAGGAGGTGAAAGAGGGATACTTGCCAAGTTTAATGAATGCTGGGCTGTGGGGAGGGGGAAAAAGTACTTTGGAGAACTTGAAAGGAAGGTGGTTTACTAAAAGATGGGTGCTTTGTGTGTGTGAATAACGAGAAAAGTAGCAAGTCATTTGAAAAATGAAGTTCATGGCCAGGTTCCTATCATCCGTTCCAGTTTGTGCAAGCAAAATTTTGATCACTAGAGAGGATGTTTTTGTGTGGTGTTTGTTTCCATTTTTCTGAGTTAGGAGACTTTGGAAAACAAGCCAGCAAATGAACTCCCTCCCCTCCATCCAAGTTGTAGCCTGACGTATTTTTGAAGTCAGAAAGACCTGGGTTCAAATCCCACTTCTATCACATGTTGGCTGTCCCAGCTGTCTGATCTTGGGATGACCATTCACCTAGTGCCTTAGAGCCTCAGTTTTGTCATCTGTAAAATGCTGATGATACACCTGTAGCCCACATCCTTCAGGCTTGTGTGAGACTTGAGAAAGGTAATGGATGCCACATGAATGCCAAGTACTGTGCTATTTGAGAATGGTTCCTGTTCTCACCACAATGCTTTAACTCCTTATTTTAAAAGTGCTGTATGAGAACAGATCTAGAAAGCAATGATGGCAGAATTATTTGAACTTGTAGCTTCTGAACTGTTTCATAGAATGGCAGGAGCAGTCTTACCTTGAAGAAAAAAAAAATCTCATTATGGTAGGAACCCTTTCATACAGATTGGTTTATGTGTGAATTGCATCTGTGGTATAAAAGCAGAGAAGTGAATTAAAAACCTATGGTTTTTTGGTTGTTTGTTTTTTTGGTGAGGCAATTGGGGTTAAATAACTTGCCCAAGGTCACACAGCTAGCAAGTGTCAAGTGTCTAAGGCCATATTTACACTCAGGTCCTCCTGGCTCCAGGGCTGGCACTCTATCCACTGCGCCACCTAGCTGCCCCCAAAACCCATAGTTTTTATGTGTTGACGTGGAGTCCGTCCTTGAAGGGAAGGGGTGGGGGAGATGTGCTTCTTACACTTTCAGAATAAGGTGGTTTGATTTCTTTGGGTGGTTTCATTTTGGACATGGATTTATAGTGTTTGAGTACTGGAAAGGACCATAAGAGATCATCGGGGGCAATACTGTAATTTTAGGATGGAAACAAGCATTTATTAAATGCCTACTATGTGCCAGATACTGTGCTAAGCGCTTTATAAATATTATCTCATTTGATTCACAACAGTCTTGTGAGGGCGGCTGTGATTATCTCCATTTTGCAGATCAGGAAACTGAGGTAGGCAGTGGTGAAGTGACTCACCCAGGGTCGTACAACTAGGAAGTGTCTGAGGCAGGATTTGAACTCAAGTCCTCCTGATTCTAGGCCCAGTGCTGCATCCACTGTGCTACTTAGCTGCTAAAAATAGTGGACCAAAGGTAGTGTACCAGCATTTTATGGGGCACTCCATTCACTGCACTTAAAAGGTTCTTGTCCTGAGGTCTGCAAACTTGTTTTATTAATATTTTGATGGCTATAATTATATGATTGGTTTTCTTTGTAATCCTGTGTGCTTTATTTTATGCATTTAAAAACATTATTCTGAGGAGTCCATGGGTTTCACCAGACGCTGCCCAAAGGAGTCCATGGCATAAAACAGATTAAGAACCTCTGCTGTAAGAGGTGACTTGATATGTTTGAGGTTGTGCAACCCAATTACTGACAGAGCTGGTCATGGAACCTGGGTCTCTACTTCCATTGTCCTTCATCGCACTCCCTCCCCATATGAGCTGCCTGTCTTGCATCCAGGCAGAGATCCCGCAGAGAGGACTGCAAAGTGGTACTCTGGTGGAAGAAAGAAGCTGGTTGCCTTAGAGCTGACCCTTGAAGCTTTGGGCCTGGATGATACTGTCGAGGGAGAAAGTATGGGGAAAGAAGAGGAGTCAGGATAGAGCCTTTGACATCAAAGGGATGGAAGAAGGGAGTAGAGCCAAGAGGTGGATAGGAGTGGACAGGGGAAGGAATAATCAGGTTAATTCTTTGTCTGGTAGGCAGAAGAGGACAGTATCTCCAGAAGAAGGGGATTGTTAAATACTGAAGGGTCAAGGAGAAGGAAGACTGAGGTTTGGTGATAATGATTAGGAGATTTGTTTGGTGACCATGGTGGGAGTAGAAGCCAGATTGTTGTGAGGGCTTAAAGATTAAGGAGGTGGTAAGCAGGTGGAAGCAGTGACTGTCTGATCTGATTGGTCATACTCTGGTCAACTGATGAGGGAGGCAAAAAGCCAGCAGGAGGAGGGACAAATTAGGGTTCTAATAATTTGTCTCCCCTTTCATTCCCAGGATCCACTTACAGTGTCTTGTCCATCATGCCCTCGGACTCAGAAAGCAGCAGTTCCCTCAGCAGTGTGGGTGAGTACCACTCTGCCAATGTGTTAGCCCTTCAGGAAGTGCCAGGGGAGCCAAAGTCCAAAGGCCTGGCTCTCTGCCAGCTTGCCTGTCAGTAAAGGTCCCTGGTGGGTGTGTAGAGCCACAGGGGCTAATGCCACTAGCCAGGGTGTAGTTCAAAGCTGACCTGGACTGTTCAGATTCTCCCACTGCATTCTCCTTCAGTGGAGTTTTCTCTAATAAGCAACTGCAGGGAGTCATCTTAGAGGAGGAGGAGGAGGAGAAAACCTGGCTGTAATGTTAAAATGGAAGGTGATTGTTGGGGACAATGGATGGTTTTCCATACCAGTGCCTTGTACAGCCTGTAATTCTTCTGTGTAAGCCTGTCTGCACAAGCCAAAGTCCTTTTCATTGAATCACAGAATCTCAGAGTTGCAGGTTGCTTGAGTGACTATCCAGTGTCTAGTCTAACCTATATCTGAAAAGCAAACCCTTTTACATCATAACCAGTCATCATTCCTTTGCTTGAACATCTCCAAGGAGAAGGAAATTCAGTACCTCCAGAAGCAGCCCTTTCCATTTTTGGATAACTCTAATTATTACAAAGTTATTTCTTAATATCAAGCTGAAATTTGCCTCTTTGCACTTTCTCATTGCTCCTTCCTTCTGGGGTCAAACAGAACAAGACTAATCCCTTTTTTTAAGGACAATCCTTTAAAGTCTTGAAGAGCTGGATGTAGAAGTGTATACCCTGCTACTGAGGAAAACTGAGACCGGAGCATGTCTTGGGCTCTGTAATTCTGAGCTTTGGTGAGCTAAGCTGAAAAAGTAACCATATTAAGTTTGGCATTCCCAAGCTTCCCAAGAAAGAGCAAGAGGCCACCAGGGAAGGACGAGTCATTCCAGTTTGGAGACAGAGCTGGTCAAGGGCTCCCCTGTCCGTCAGAGTGGGTGAAATAGAGAGACCCAGTCTTAAAAATAAAAATTCTTGAAGCCATCCAGCATCTCCCTCAGAATCTTTTCCTTTTTTAGGCTCAATGTCTCTAGCAAAATATAAGAAATGCGATCAGATTTAAGGCTCTTCTCCCTAAAATCCAGGAACCAGTAATATGATGAGACATTTAGAATTGGAAAGGAGTTCAACCACTTCATCTGTAGATGAGGAAACCAAGGTTTTTATAGGGGTTGCATTGTTGAGGTGCAGGTTATTTTGGTGGCTACTTTCTGCTAAGGACCCCCTTTCTAAAACCTGGATCTGATAACAGAACTGGCCTACCAGGCTGAGCTCAAGAATATAACATTCCAGGTTGGAACACTTGTGTTTTGGGGGTGCTAATTTCAGATTGTCTTAGGAGGTGAAGCCACTTTCCTCTTTGTTTGATGTACTGTAAGAACAGTGTTGGACAGTGCCTATGAGTGCTTCTTTGAAGCCCAGTGGCTAAAAGAGTTCTTTTCCTGTACAGTGCCTTGGACTTCTCTAGACCTGGGGGCTGTGAATTGTATGTGGACTGTCTACATTAATAATTTTCCTTGGGTTTATTTGTATAGGAATTGTGTAGAAAGAGGACATAGTAATAGGGTCAGTCAGTAGCCAAATTGTGAATGGGACAGTGAATATAGGATCATAGATTCTGATCTGGAAGGGACCCCAGACATCATCTGGTTGACTTTTTAGGCAAGCGAACTGAATATCAGAGATTTAATGATTTCCTAAAAGCCTGATGGAGGTCAGGGCTAGCTTTTGAACACACATAATATGGTGTGGTGTGACGTGACAGAGAGAATTCTGGATTTGGATTCAAGGGACCTGGGTTTGAATCCTGTATTTTTGGGGGGTGTGGGGGTGAGACAAGTATATACAGAATTACAATAAGTGGCTAATTGGAAGGTAGCTGTGGGGGGAGGGCACTAGTGGTTGTGTGTGTATGTGGTAGGGGTCAGGAAAGACTTCATAGAGAAGGTGGGACTCAGCTGAATCTTGAACAAAGAGGGATTCTGTAAGAATTCAATGGTGACTCTTTATTCCTGTTCACTGCTTCCCAGCAGGTCCCAGGGCTCTGAATGTTACCCTGATCCCTCCTCAGAGGGGCAGGGAGAAGGGAGCTTATTCTCACTAAAGGGCTAGGTACTTCATGCTTTTCCCTACACAAGAACATTTAAATTTTAAAAGGGCAGAGGACTATGTTTCAGCCAAAAGAAAATAATCAGTAGTTTTAGAATGTCAGGTCTCGGCTGGTGATGGGTTTTTGGAGTAAGGAGCCTTTCTAGTGCCCCTTTCATTTCAGTCTGTCAGTGACTTTTCCACTTACGTCAGGAACATGAGGGAGAGCCAAGACTCATCCCTCAGGCTCCTTTTCGGCTGTCACGGGCAGATAGGAAGCAGAGCTCATTTTTAATTCGAGGAACAGTGTGAGCTTTCTCAGCTACGTGACCAGATTTTGATGCTGAAAGGCTTGGAGAGAGTGTGAGCACACACTCTCTCTCTCTCTCTCTCTCTCTCTCTCTCTTTCTCTTTCCTCTGTCTCTCTCTCTCTCTTTGTCTCTTTCTCACTGATTAAGCCTCTCCTACATTTATTCAGAGGTTGTATTTATTTATTCTTGGTTGTATCTCTTTCCTTGTTTTTGTTTTTAAATTTTTATATGTAGCTATTTTTTATGCCTTTGGGGAAGGGCTAGGTTACTTAATGCACCCTACTAATAGGGCATTCCAGCAGTGATTATTTCAAACATAATATATATATGTATATGTTTATGTATTTGTGTATGTACCTACATACACACATTCACATTCCTTCTTTCTTACAAATCTTACCTGAACTGAACAGCCAAATGATATCCTTTGCCAGTTTCTATTGAGCAGCCATGCCTTGACACTGAATTCAATTGAATATTTTTTTCTTTTTAATTAAATATAAAAATGTTTTCCTAATATCTTGTTTTTTTCACCATCTACATTTCCTTCCCCTGTCCTCTTCCCAGAGAGCCATACTTTATAATAAAGAATAAAAAGAGAAAAAAAAACATTTTTGAAGGTCTTCCTTTGTGCTAGATGATTGTGCTAGTCTTGGGGATAAAAGATAAAGGACATTGTCCCTGCCCTCAAGAAGCTAATGCAAATATGTAACTGTATGAAGGAAATTGTGAAGGACAGAGCACTACTAATTTGGGAGATCTGGGAAGGCTTCCTAGGAGCAATGGTACTTAAGATGAAATGTAGGGGAAGAAAAGAATTTTGAGGCAGAGATGAAGGGTGAGTGGAATGCCTTCCAGGCTTGGGGGACAGCTTGTGTGAATGTAGGACAGGTCATAAAGAATGTTTGTAGTTCACTTGGGCTGGATGTACAGTTAATGGAAGGTGGACGTGGGTAGGCCAAGGTAGAATTTGGCTCTTTATGTCTTTTTAAAATTTTATTTTATTCAATTAATGAAAACATTTTCTCTCTCTTTCACTTCCATCCCATGGGAGAGGGAGGAGTAGAAAAACAGCACCTCTATAACAAATGCATTGTTGAGCAAAACATTCTTGCAATGACCATGTCTAGAAATGCCTATCTTGTCCTGAGAAGAGGATGAGTAGTGTATGTTTCATCACTGGTCTTCTGGAATCGTGGCTGGTCATTGTGTTGATCAGAGTTCTTTTGTCTTTCAAAGTTTTTCTTTTTTTTATGATTTTGTTGTTTATTTATAAATTGTTCTCCTGGTCCCACTTATTTCACTCTGCATCAGTTCATAGAAGTTTTCTCAGGTTTTTCAGAAATAGTTTTTCATAAAATTTTCACAGCAGGCTCTTTATGTCTCAGCCATAGGGGATTCTTTTAACTGAGGCATGAGAGATGTCTCAGCAGCTGAAATTTATACTTTCCTTTCTGATCAGCTTGCCTTTTGTGGAGAATATCAGGGTGCAGGTGGATTAGGAGAAAGATATATCAGGTGAATTCTTAGATCTAGTGAGACTTTAATTAGACAAATAAACTGATGAGGTAAAGTTAGGTTTCTTTACTCCTCACCTAGATTACTGCAATATTTTCCTGCCTTCATTCTTACACATACATGTTCAAATAGTCTTCCTCACACAATTTTATTCTATCACTGCTTTTCTCCAAATCCTTTCCTAGCTTCTTATTGTTTATAAGATAAAATGTGAACAAAGCACTTTAGCTTGACACTTGAGTCATTTCTCATCATTAGCCACATCTCAACATTGCTGCTGTCCCTTTAAGTCTATGTGCTCCCTGCATTTCCCTCCTAATTGTACTGGTAATGGGTTTCTGATCTTGTCTTCTCCCCTTCTGTCTCTGGATATCCTTAGAGGTTTTCTCTGACTCCCTCTGTAATCCTGTGACTTGCCGAAAACTTTTCCGTCCATGCCCAGATCAGGCATCATCTCTTCTATGAAATCTCTTTCCTTATACTTGTTTTTAGGATTTTGTCTGGATCCTTCTTTTGCCAATATCCCCTTCTGTCATTGGTGCATTACTTTACAAATATTAGGCACTTAGGAAACATTTGAATGGATTTTGAATTGTGTCATGCTTATTGGTGACATCTTTATCACAATAAGACATACAATCCCTGTCACGGCCAATGTGGAAACAGATTTTGTTGTTCAGTCACGTCTGACATTTCATGACCCCGTTTGGGGTTTTCTTGGTAAATATACTGGGGCCGTTTGCCATTTCCTTCTCCAGCTCATTTTATAGATGAGGAAACTGAGGCAGAGAGGGTTAAGTGACTTGTGCCGGGTTACACAGCTTGAAAGGGGACAGGAATTGTGCATATCTTCAAGGCCTAGAGAGGTATCATGGTACTGTGAGAATGCAGAAACCTGGTGGCCTTGAGGCAAGAAAGACCTGAATTGAAGTCCTGCCTCTGGCACATACTGTCTACACTTGTTGACAATGGGAAAGTGAGATTCCTCAATAGAGCCGAAAGATTTACAGTTGGAAAGGAGTTATGTAGTTTAGTCCTTCTGTTTTACACATGAAAAAATGGTGGCCCAGAGAAGTTGTGGGACTTGTTGATGG